GGGCTTACTGTGAAAAAAAAATAGTTAGTAATGTATAGTAAACTACAAAGTGTTGCATAAAGGGAATCGTTACCAGCGGCGCTAAAGTAATAAACAAGCACGAGAAGCGCGGCACCACAAGGACCTCTGGCAATCATGAGTTCACACAAATCCATTAAAGTGAAGCGTAAGTAAAAATACATATTAATCAAACTCACTTACAGTAGGCGCAAGCGCTTCGGGCAGGGAACAACTCTGTATGAAATTCAACTCTGGGCTGGTAGTGTGGCCGAGAATAAAGTCGATGGCGGCCTGCCGCCGTATTTCGCCGAACCGGTGATAATATCTGAACAACAAAGTAAGAATTCGCATCCGGGTTAAAACAAAGAAAAGCCGCAACCATGGTGCTTGAGGTGAAAAGGGCCAACGTGGTTAAATGTCCAACAAAGCGGGGCATGGTTTCGACAGCAGCCTAGGGAAAACCCTGCTAGGGAAAACCATGATACCTTTACATTTCTCCGAAGAAACAAGCAGAGATTATAAAGTCCCATGCGGCTTGTTAATCGAATGTCATATTAATGAAAGCAATACCACCCGAGAAGCAGCTACGTATGAACAAAGCAATACCTATTTATCGTAGCACGTCTGTCAGCGCGATCAGCTGGAACGTGAGAATGACAATGCAAAGAGTAGCAGAGTAGCACACTACCAACAAAAGAAGCTTAGCCGGTGCAGTTTGACAAAACATCGTTTCAAGGCTGTCCTTTAGTCTGAACTAATACGATCTACCCATTGAGAGTAGGAATACGTGATACCTGCCCTGCACAACCCCACCTTTAGTACTTAGACTGAAATTTGACAATACGCACGTTTTCGACTAGTCGCCATCAGAAAATTACAATAATTGAAACATCGTTTTCCCGGAAGAAATTTGAACAAGACAAAGATCACGAGTTGAGCAGAATTTATTGACGTCATAAGTTTGAGTTCAATCACTAAGCGCTTAGTGGATACTGGTCATACAATTGACCAAAAGACCGCGTTTAAGGTCGTACTTCGGGCGGCGAACGGACGTCTCCTACGATTTGCCGAGGCCGCTGTAATACGCAGAGAAAAACGAGAACTGTGTAAGCAGCTGGATCATGTGATCAACCTCGCCTTGCTGTGGTAACGATCGATCAGCTCAGTCTCTCTCATGCCTTCTCCCTCCCTCCGTTATGACTGAATTCTGCCCTGTGCTTTGTCCCCCCCCC